CAAATAAAATTCTAGTGGAAACAAAGGTTCTGAGGCTTGCAAAAGCACCAAAATTCCGCTTCAATTAAGGATTTTTTCCAGTCTACTGTCACTAATCTTACCGTATCTCTTGAGTTCGTAAAGATACCACCTTGTGATTTTCACATGTTGTGTAAAAATTATTGCTTTAAAAAATGTGTTTTTTTTAAAAAAAATTTAAAATGTTGCTTTTCGAGAAAAACCGTTCTGAATTTTTGTTTATATTTTAATCTAAAATAAAATTTGCTAATTTAAGCGTTTTACCACTTTTCTGAATCTGCAGGAGATGAGCTTTCAAATAACTTGTGAACTGCGAGATATATAAGTTGTTAAAGGTGACCAGGTCAAGGGTGAATTGCGTTTTTTTTTCGCAGTTTAGAACGGTCTAACTTTGCCGCAAGCGCACTTTTTGAGGTAAACTCTTTCGATTTTGAAATCCGGTAACAAGTGCTACAAGTTATCAAAGAATGAAAAAAATCTGAGAGGTCGAGGTTCAAACTTGTGCGATTTTTCGTGGAATGGTCCATATATTTGAGTAAAACGAGCATACGATTTGGTTTTTTGCAGGGAAGCGTGGAAACCATAAAACACCCGTGTTTTACATCCTGGTTGAAACTGTTAGTGATTTGTCTGTTGAGCAGATGATTTCCGCACATTGTTTACTTAACAGGGAATTAACGTACGTTCGCATATGTTATATTTTAATGGTATTCCTATTAGTGCAATTTAATTAAAGAGCAGAAGTATTTGAAGCATGAAATGTTAACCGATATTTTTGTATTGGTGATAGTGGACAAGTTCTTCTTTTCAGTTTCTTATTTTATTATACTTTCTTTGTTGAACTTTGTAGTGCTGAGCAGATCAAGTCTCGCGTCTTTGGGAAGCAGGATGGGTTTGATTTAGTCTCAATGCATTCAGTTAAACGTTTTGCGAAGCAAGGTTCTGCTGCAGTGTCATCGGGTCATAATGACAAGGGTAAGTAATGAACCTCATTGTTTGATGCCTGGTAACTCTGATATATTTACTCTAAAAAATTGCATTCGTATGCCCCACTGATGCTCGTGACTTGGGAACTTGTTTGTACATTTGCAGAGGCCGGAAATGAGCAGTTCCCCGAGCAAAATATAACAGGTAGTGCCAAGCTAGATCCGGCGTGGCGTGACTACTTATTTTCATCTAGAAAGGGTGTGGAGTGGATGGATGAAATTTCTATAACACTATTTAGGTCAAAGCGGTCGTCTTACTTGAGGGAAAGGTGTGTATTTTTAAGTCCCATATTTTTAATAGTTAACTTTAACGCTCGGTCAACAGACCTCTTAATTTTGTTTGCCTATTTCGGTTTTAGGGAATCGGAGTCATTTTGAGGTTGTACCACCCATGGTAGAATTGCGTGCTGCAAAAAATTTTGAAGTTATCCGCTTTTTTCTTTAGTTTGTAATTCCAGTACTTAGTTTTGTTTTAGAAAATTATAAATTGGATTTCCTAAAGTAGTGAAATATCAGGATTTTGATGTTGCTTTATGAAATATGTTTTACGATGATTCTCTCTTGCACATAACGGTGTGATGAGGTTATTTCCAACAGAAAAAATTGTTTTCCTTGTTCCTTCACCTACTTTTTTTCGTCCTTCCGGCTTCCTGCATGCATCACCAGTGAAATCCAACTAGGCAATGACCCTTAATGAAGTGGTGTGGGCGGTATGGTCTCTTTCTATTACTGGCTAAGCGCTGCAGCTAACAAACAATTTCCTGAAATTCAAAAGCCATCCTCGTTGTCTTCTCTTCTTGATATTTTACGGGAGCAAATTTCTACGAAAGTTATTGTAAGCACTATTAGCGCTTGCTACTTATAGCGCCAACTACTTAGCTGTTTGATTTTGTGACACAAGTCTAAAAAGTCGTGTTGCCTTAGATTCTTGACGTTAACAACTCCTTTTTTGTTACTTACTGGAACCGTTAACTCGCCTGTTTGGGAGGAACTGACTCTAATTTTGTTTTCGTCGATCTTATCGGTAACCACTTTATTTGCTAAACGCTAGATATAAACTTAGAAAGAGCAGCCTCAGTACTTGTTGCACACCTTGTAGTGTGGACAACCAGTCAATAAGAAGCAATATAAAAACAATTATTTTTTATAATTAACGGCAACATGCACATGAACTATAATCTGCCTGTGGACTCGTGAAGAGCTTGAGCTTAAAAGAAGGGCTTTCTAAACTGGAATTGATCAAAGACAGTACTGATTCTTGCTGAGCCTCACCGCCTCTTTATACACTTGAGTAACTTCTGTAGTGGTCCTTTTTTTTGCCCCAGCAAGAGCTTCCCCGCAGGGAACACAAAATAGTTGACCACTTTTTGCTTTAAATTTGCCGTTTCACGTATATTCGCGTCACAGGGTCTTGCTTGATCATCTTGCTCGGTATGGAAGCTTCTTTGATATGTCTTTTTTCTGCAAAATTGCAGAGCTATTTCGAACCACATGACTTTTAAGTAGTGCTTTTATAATTGGTAATTGGGTGTATGCAGACGGGCCTTTGCAAAGGTGTAGAACTTAAAACTAATGTCAACTCCAGCTTTCCCCGTTCTTCGTGAGCTCTTTCTGATTTTATTTTTCATATTCTTTCCTCATACTTGGTTGCTGAGTGCACTATAAGAGTTCTAGTAAATTTAGGAGGATGAGCCTACGGTGTAAATTTTAGTTAAAGCAGACCGAAGTTTTAAGACTGTAGTTGGAATAAAGCCGGCAGAATGATATTGAATCGAGTCGTTTTGTTGCTTGCAGAATTGAATTTGTAGCTAGTTTTAGGGGATTAGTAGATTTTGGTATATCGGTCGAAGCCGGCTGACGAAACTGCCACTTGCTTCACTTTTCTTTTTCTAGTTTACTAGCTCAATTGTATCGCCTATTAAATTCTTATTTCTTAAAAAGCGTATATCAATACAATAAGGGAGTTGTGAAAAATAGGCAGGAAATTGGTAGTTAAGCTTTGGAAACATATTGGTAGCGTTTTTACTTTTTTTTTTTTTTTTTTTTTTAAACTGCAGATTCATTTGACGGTGCCAACAGCACTTATTTGTTACAAGCAAAAATTTATTACGAGAACTGATATGAGAAATTTAGTGTTGTATCGCTTGTCTTTGTCGTCATTATATGCTTGTCTTTAGAACTATTAAGCCACTATTAATGCAGTTTTTGATTTTTTTGAAAGTGTGTGTCAGTGTTGTTGGAAACCTGAGACTTTAAGAAAGGGGTGTAGTGCAGTTTTGCTCTTGTATTTTACTACATCTCATCTTTTTTCATTGTTTTACGTCAAAATTAAATCGAGTTGCTGGGACGGGGTTTTGGAGGGTACTTCTCAGAATACCAATTTTTTCATTTCTGGTCTTTTTTAATTAGTCGTAGCGGTTTTTGTATGTTATAAAATTAGCTAGGTGGATCTTGGCATAAACATTGTAATTCTAATAAAAATACGCTGTGTAAGGTCTAGTTCAGAGGGAGAGAGGGGTATTCAGAAGATACAAAAGGTAGAAGTTACGCAATAGATAACGGTGAGGATATCTAGTAAGCAAATTTCGGCTACAAATTTGACCAGGCGTAGTTTGCAGTTGTAGTGACGTAGGATCATTTGAGAATCATTTGGTTTCTAAATTGTGGCATGTAGGTAAATTTTTCTCCCGGAAGAACGGAATTGTGATTTCAAAGTCCACTGTGGCTGTTGCGGTTATCTGACTTCCTTGTCTGTAAATTTGGCCCGTCCACTACCTGAAACTGTCGTAAAGTACAAAGACAATTTTGAAGAGAGATGGGGTTGTTAATACTCTGTCAACATTGCCTAGTTCTTAGCTTTTTTCATTGTTAACAGTGGGTTTCGGGGAACTAACAGGTAATTTTTTTGAATATGTGGTTTTGTTTGAAACTGCTGATTTCCAGACCCTTCAGCTTGTAACTTTTATGTTGTTTACTCAGTTTGGATTAAAGCTTCATGGCACTTACTTTGACCTATTACAATGTAAAAGTAGAACTGCCTAAAGAACGGGCTGGAAGGGTGTATTTAGCAATGAGTTAGGAACCAGGTATGTGGTTGTGGACGCAATGCCTTTCCGCGATGGTGGCAGTACCTTGAAATGAGCAGGCTTCTTAGTTTATTACACTAAATTTTCTTCTGGTTTTGTGACTCTGTCTTCCTGATTTGCAGGGTTCATTGCTTTTGTCATATAGGGTTTGAAGCATCGAGTTATTACCTTAATTTGCACAGACTTTCTTTGCATCGTAGGTGCTTTGCGTCATCGCTGTCTAGTGTGATCTCTGCGCATTGTTGCTGGCGTGCTATGGTAGCGTCAAAGGTGCGTGGTTTCGGGTTTATAATTTTTGAAAACTATTTACCTATTGAGAAATTTTTTTTACCAAATGGCCTGGATAGAGACTTGCAAGAGTTTATGAGGAACTACTTTGAATCTAGCGAGCAACGGTGGAAAGTTAGATATGAACGTGAATTGTCGCTTGCGGAATTTCTTTCGGTCAAAATCTTTTCTATCGCTTCTTTTAAGTTTCTATTACGAAAGTTTTGAGAAGAAATAGTACGGTGTTTCCGTGTTGAGTGGCAGTAACATTTAAAAGGTTTTTCTTGGAACCGATGTGAAGACAATTCACGTGTCTTTTTATCAGGTTTAATGCGAATAATACTTCGGTTAAACTGTTTCATGTTGCAAATTAGATTTGTTCTTTTTTTTCATTTTCATCTTCGTCGTTTTAATGGGTTTGATAGGTTTTTTTTGCGAGGAATAGACTTTTCGCAGTCTTCTTTTGGCACTTGATAAGTATTTTCATGTAGCTTTGTTTTTCAGCTAAAAGGGTATCTCTTTATTTTTGATTTATTTTATTGGCTTCTGTATAATAATAATTTCTCATCTTTTACTGCTTTTATTTTGTTACTTTAGACGCTTTGATTTATTCGCTTGAATAAATTTAGGGTAGAACGAAAACTTATGGTCGAAGTAAAGAGCTTACACGTAGATTTGGTTGATGTTGCAATCGGTAGAGATGTTATCTCTCTGGAGTCCTGTGACACGGTGGGAGAGTGTTTGCTTCGGTCTCATCTATCTGTTGATATCCTTTTCTGGCTGCTGGACAACTGGGTTGCATTCTCGAACAAGTAAATTGCTCACATGTGACCTTACTTATTCTAGATTAAGAGTAAATGCGAAGTTCACATTCTTGTTTTTTAATTCTTGCTTTTTAAGATAACTGTTTATTCAAGGGGTACTCTGCAGTTTTGGATCCTAAACATATGTGAAAACTCATTTTTCATATTATCAATATTAGGTCTTGCATATCTGAATTTGGGAATGTGCTGATCAAATACATGGATTTAATCATTGAAAACGGGTTTGTGCTCGCTCAGAGATCTCTGGCTCACAAGTGGTGTTCATTACTGAATTATTCTATGCGGTAATATGTTTTTAATAAATGTCATTAAATTTAGTTTGTTTCGCTTTTTTTTATTCCAAATACGTTTGTAGTATGATTTCCACTTGCATTTTTTCTTGGTTTAGTGCGATTAAAGCAGTGGATTCCATCGTACATGAACATCTGTTGTGGAGAATGTTGACATGCTTAAAAAGTGCTGTTGAGAGATCATATGCTGTGGAAAATGCCGGTTCACTCCACTGGATGTTTACCATTGTATTTGCCACTTTGCAAGTAGATTAATTTTATCAGTTTTTCGTCCTTTTTGTTTGATTACTTTTGTCCAGAAATCTTTAGATGGGTGTTACGCTTGCTGGTAGCGAACGGTGTTCTAATGCAATAACTTCTCTTTTGATTTCTTCGATCAATACGCTGACAGCTATTGGAGAAACAATTAAAAAAAATTTGAACAGTAGTATTTATGAAAAACTTGCCAGTGATTATGGTTTATTTGGACTACCACTGGAGCTCGTAAGTCTCATTATTTGGATTCATAAAATTTGGTGTTTTTCATACCAGTATTTTAGCTCTTGTATGAGTGGCCGTCTCCAGTTCTTACTCTTTTATCACGGCCCTCCAGTCCTCTAGCTTCTTGTACAGGTAAGTTTAGAACTCTTCCAGTTCTGATTTCAAGTTTTGGTTTATTTTATTAGTTATTGTAAAAAGAATGGCAGTCCTCTTCAGTGTTTATCTAGTTTGTATGTTTGAAGCCAGTTTTTTGAATGCAACGTAGATCAAGAAAGTCTTATTCCAATTTGTACTTACTAATCTTATTTTTATCTTTCTTGGAAGGAGTTTTGACTTTTTAGTTGAAAATTATTCCCAGATCATCAAAAGCTTACGCTCTTTTTATTTTTTGAATAAATATGTGTTAATGCAGGTTTATCACCATACTCAGCTTTCTTTACTGCTCATTCTCTACCCGCGAATGCGCAAAGTAGTGGGTGGAATAACAAACAGAAGGTTTCGCATCACTGGCACGTAAAAAAACAAGGGTCGTCGATTTCTGATGCTGAAAGCAGCGAATTAGTTAAAAACGGGAGAGGTGTGCCAGGTTTCTCGAAGCCGTTGTTGTCTGTTAATGGGAGTCTTAACGATCTTATTGCCCAGGTTTTTGACTTGTATATCTTTTTGAAATGGTAGCTTTGTTATTTGGAAGAGTTTCATTAGTTCTCATTGATCCTAAAATTTTTCATTCAGGATGAGATGGAGTGGTTTGAGTTATATGATATTAATATTAATGGAGAACACGAATCACATCACATGGGTTCTAGTGGTTGGTGCACTTTTTTCTTTATTGTTTACCTCCTAATATTGGACGATAGTTTTATTGTATCATAGAATTTTGAAGGCATTCCTTCGGCGGCTCCACCTGGAACTGGGGTTTTCAGAATCAACGAGAATTCTTGTGCCTCTGAGTCCTTCCACCGTGTTCGCCTTTCACCTTCGCAGCTGAGTGGTTTAATAGAAGTTGAGCCGTTGACTTTTACCTGTGTTGCTGCTTCTGACCACGTTAAAGTTGAGAATCTTGAAACAGGTTTGTGACTGTTTTCAAATAGAGCTTGAAAATGCTCGTAATTCTAACTTTTTATTACTAAAGTTGTTGAAGTCTTTCACCATATTAACTTTTATTTCGTGCTGATATTATGCTTGTTGGGAGCACCTCTTTCTTGTTGCTATTGTTGTTACTATTAATTTTCTTCTTCTTATCGTTATTAATCTCAGTGATGTCATTCCTATTGTTAATTATTATTATTGTTGCTGTTTTTTATTATTAATATTGTTGTCGTTATTGTTATCATTATTTATTATTTATTGATATTTGTATTATTTATCATTATTATTATTATTATTATTATTATTATTATTATTCATTATTATTATTATTATTATTATTATTATTATTATTATCAACTATTATTATTATTGTTATTAATCATTATCAATTACTCTTATTTTATCATTATTAATTATTAATTATTATTGGTTATGTTGTTTGTTATTGTTATTGTTATTACTACTGTTATTACTACTGTTATTACTATTGTTAATATTAATATTAATACTACCTTCACTGCTATTTTTACCACCACCGTTGTTATTATTGCTGTTGTCTCTTATTCTAATGATTTTATCATTACTGCAGTTACTGGTAAGAGGACTTCATAGTAATCGTGAATGCTGTAACTTATCTGCTGTGGTACAGCTAAATCCTGTACATTTTAAATTTTCAGGCTCAGTTACCACTATCAGCTCTTCTTCAAATTTGTCAGCTGGACAACAGTCAAATCTGAGGCCCTTTCCTTTGAAAACGACAAGGGTTTCGTGCCTAGGTGCTTCTACGCCTGTTCCTCAGCAATTGGCGGTATGATCTTATCATTTTTTGCCAATTTTCTTTGATTACAATGGGTGGTTTTTAAATTTTTTTATCATTTATTGTTTTGTTGAGGAAATAACACTATTTTTCATAAATACTGGGCTCACTTTTTGATTGAGGTCTTTATTTATCTTCCCACTTTTAAAGTGATTGTCAAAAGCGAGTTCAGAGATTTGTTTTGTGATTTGAATATGTTATTTTCTCTACAATAAATCATAAAATAAGTTTTTAGCCGTACTTTATTTTTATGTTTTGTTTTTTGAGTAATGAGTTTCTTATTCCTAGGTCTTCTTAGATGGCTTATGTGGAAGGCTAGTTTGCTATCTGTTATGCATTTCCTTTATTGTTAATTTGCGCAACAGCAGATTTAGTATCCTTAATCTTTTGATGATCTTTGTAATTGTTCGAGAAATTCTAAGGCTAAAGCTCAAGAGGTTGGGTTGGAGCAGACACTAATTAAAGAAAAAATAACGAGGATAAGTAGGCATCGATATACCGAGGTTTTCTTAAAAATATTTTTTTTTATATTTGCGGATTTCTGGTTTGTATTGTATGGAACTCAGCAACTTAGAACTCTGTCAAAGGAAGTTGAAAATTTTTGTCAAAAACTATCTATGCAAAAATTCTGGATGGTTTTTTAGCATCATCACAACTTCCTGCTAGTGAAGTCAGAGCTCTGGAGAAAAATTAAGCTTTTTTGGGATACCGAAAAGCATTCCGACTTGCCAGTGTTAATTGGCTTCGCTTTCTTTATTGCGTGTTCAGTTCCTTTCCTGAATACCGAGCGCCTTTTTATGCAAATTGTGCACTGTTGTCTTTGTAATTCGCGGCCCTCCCTTTTTCTGTGCAATAACTTTTACACTTTTAAAGCAGTTGTGTCCGAACACATTATTAGCTGTTATTTTAATCAGTATTCTTAAAGCATCGTTAGTTGCTACATACCAGTTATTTAGTGTTCTACCGAGAAACAGCCATCATCTGAAGAAAGAACAGTTGGAGAGAGAAAACTTCAATTTACCGAGGATCAAACACATTTTCCTCGGCAGTTGTTCACAACTGTTGCCGTTGTTCCGTCTGATTTACTTCGGCCTCCTCCTCGTCAGGTTCTCACAATTGAAAGAATGGCTCTTGGTTAGTAATAAATTCTTTTTTAATTTAAAGGTGATTTCCAAAGCTGTTCTGAATACCATGCTCTTTGCAAATTAGTCTTTTTAGTAGCTCTGTTAAAAGTTCTTTGGGCGGGTGTAGGTTTTTGTTATTTTATAGTTTGCATAAACAACAGCTAAGTCTCTTTGGGCAGTGGTTTTCAGTGCCTTTAATTAGGATATATCTATTCAGTTGAACCTCGTCGAATAAAGTTTACGAGTATTAAAAGTCAAAGCAATTTTATTTTCAAGAACAAAAAATTTTGAAAAATACGATGCAAAATAATTATTTTTTACTCATTTTTTGGACCGTTTTAACAGCGAAGCTTTCACGATGTTGATTTTAGAATAGTTCCTTAATAGTATTAGTTCTTTTAATTAAGGTACTCGTCGGTTTGTCGTGTTAGATTTCGGGTTACCTGTATTGCTGACGGATATAGTAATTCCTTCTTGTGCCGAATTGTCATCGTTGTTCGTAGATATTTGGTTACTAGGAGAGAGCATTGACGGCCGAAGGTTGACAGGTTCCTCACAGATAGGTTGTAAAAGCATTATTCTCCAAGACCTTGCACCGAACATGCTGGTGAGGTTCCTAAAGGTTGGTTCGTTTTTCATTCAGCAAAATTAAGAATGCTTTGTCTTTGTAGATGAATAGATTATCGTTTGTTAGTTTGATCTTTTTTTTTTTTTTTTT